GGGGCTGGGGGGGGCTGTCGGGCTCCATCCGCGCTCGCTGAGCGGTGCCAGCCGCAGGCCAGGGGCTGCAGGGCCAGGCCGGCTCCCCGCCCCCTCCCGGGGCTCTGTGGGTCGGGGCGATGGGGAGCTGAGCTCCATGGCCAGCTGGAGGCAGAAGCTCAGGACAGAGGAGGCTGGGGGAGAAAGAAGAGAGACTGATACAAATTGATGCCGCTCACTCCCAACCCACAGCCCCCTGCTACTCCCAGCCCTGGGCTCCCTCCCCAGCTCTGCCAGTGCCCCTCACTCCTGACCCACAGCCCCCTGATAGCCCAGCCCTGCCCCCCCTCACGTCAGGACCTGTCCCTCCCACCTGCTGACCATTGTGGGGCCATCCCTGGGGGATGCAGTTCTGCCCCATGTCCCGTCCCTAGCAGGCGGGTGGATCCCTGGTGCCCAGCAGGGCGTGAAGGGGTTATGCTGGGACCCAGAGTCTGGAGTGACTGGGCTTCTCCTGGGGTGGGGGGGGGGGTGAGTCAGGGGCAGGGATTGACTGGTCAAGGGGCCCCCACCCTCCCTGTGAAGATCCCCACACCCCCCTCCGTGCGGTCAGACAGGGCACAGCCAGGAGGAAAGTCGGACTCACTGAAAAGAGAAGCAGCTGAGGGCGAGAGACAGGGCACATGGGGAACAGGAACCAGCAGAAACAGGCAACAGACCCCCCCAGCCTGACACAGACCCCCCCAGCCGGACACAGACCTCCCCAGCCAGACACAGACCCCCCCAGCCTGACACAGACCCTGACGGACAAGCTGGGTCACAAAGCCCAAACCAGCGCTGCCCGTCGGATCCAAACACCCACTAAACCAGTCTCCTGGGGCACCGTAACCAGACACGGCTCCCTGGGCCCCACCAGCCCGGCCACCCCTGCAGCAAAGGACAAAGCCCAGAGGGTCCCAGCCCAGGGGTGCAAATCAGGCCTGGCCCAGTGGGGCTGCCCCCCGGCTCACCAGGAGAGGAGGGCAGAGAGCTCCCTCCCGGGGCAGCCCCTGTCCGGCTGAGCCCTGCGGGGGGCTGGGCCGCACTTCACCAGCAGGGGGCAGCAGCGAGTGCCCAGCCGGGCTCCGGGCCAGACGCACCGGGGTTTGGGTTACCAGGCGTCCGGTTGGCACTAGTGACCCAGCCATTACAAGGATGGTCGGCGGCCACGGGGCCCGGGGCTAAGGCAGGTTCCCTACATGTCTTGGCTCTGCGCGGCTCCGGAAAGCGACCAACCTGTCCGGCTCCCAGGTGCTGCTCCCACCCCCAGCACCAGCCTGGCCGCGCTTCTGCCAAGGAGCCGGAGGGACACGCCGGCCGCTTCCAGGAGCGCACACAGGCACAGTCTGAAGGGGAGCATTTAAACCACGCTGGCATTGCCACACATCAGCTGTGCAAGGGGCTCTATTTCTGCCAGGGGTTAGTGACATTTCTGCTTGTTTACTGGAGGTGCAGGAAGAGGTGGTGGGACCTGGCCAAAAGGAACAAGTGAAGCTGTTCATTTCCAGCAAGGGGTGAGGGATAGAGCCGTGTATGTGCGCGCGGGACTCACCCCTGCGGCGCCTCCTGCTGGTGTCCTGGGAATTAGCTCGTTTCCAGCCTTGGAGAGACCTCTGCAGCCGATGTCCCACTGCCGCTGGGCCCCCACATCCCTCCCTGGACTCCGGTGCCCCGTTATCTGGGGTGCTGCCCCTGGCAGTGACCCCTCACTATTGGGGTCTCCCCTCCCCAGGGAACCCCCACCCCATCCCCAGCTCGCCTCAGTCATAGGCTACTGCCAGTCACAACTCGCCCCCGCGCCCTGGGGCAGACTGCAGGGTCACCTCTCCTCACAGGCAAGGTGGGTCTGGACCTGTCTCGGCCTGTCCTTGGGCTGCCCCCGGCAACCCCAGTCCCTGTTCGCCCTTAGACTAGGCCGCAGCCTGGGGGGTTCCAGGCCGGAGCTCCCCAGCTCCCTTGGCCTTCCCCAGCCCTGCCCCACTCCAGGTCCCTTCTCTAGCTCCCTGCAGCCAGGCCCATCTCCCTCCACCGCTACAGGAGACTGTGTGTCTGCCCCTGGCTTTATAGGGCCAGCTTGGGCTGTTTGGGGCATGGCTCCCAGCCCCCTCCAAGGGCCGGCTTTTAACCCCTTCGGGCCGGGAGCGGGTGACCACCCCGCTACAGTACAGCCCCGGAGTGAACATCAGAGGATCTGTTTCTTCTCGCCGCTGAAAGAAATGCAGCTCTTGCCTTTCCAGAGGTGACTGACTTCAGAAATAAAGTCAGAGGTGGAGCGATGCCTGTCCAGCAGGCAGGAGAGCGTCTTCTGATTCTAGTTTGGGGGAAAGGAAAGTGACCACAAATACACATCCAGCTTCAGCATCAGGGCCCTGGAGTCAGGAGAACAGCACTAACTAGGACGGGGGGGGGGGGCACATTGGGGTTACGAAACTGTCTGGAGGGCCGGGTAGGGAAGGCTGTGCCCCCCAAACAGCCTGGGCCCCACCCCCTATTCGCCCCTTCCCACTGCCCGCCCCCTGACTGCCCCCCTCAGAACCTCCAATCCATCCAACTCCCCTGGTCCTTGTCCCCTGACTGCCCCCCGGCCCCTAACTGCCCCCCTGCCCTTAACCACCCCCCCCACCCTTAACCGCCCCCGCACCTTACCATGCCCAGCCCTTAGGGCCATTTAGAAACTGACAATAACAAATGTTAGAAAGTGAAATCTGTCCCCTTTCATCATTGCCTCCCTCCCCCTGGGACCTTCCCACCAAGAGCAGGGTGACCCTCCCCCACAATCTCTGCAGCTCTCCCCACTTGTTCCCTTCATTTTCTTTCCACTTTCTGGGGCTATTTCCATCTGATCTTTTGTGTTTTTGCTCTATTTACTTCCTGCCTTAGGGTGGACTAGGCCAGAGGGTCAGGTTTGGAAGGGCTCTCAGGAGGTATCTAGTCCAACCGCTGCTCAAAGGAGGTCCAAGGCCCAGGCAGATTTTTGCCCTAAAGCCCTATATGGTCCCCTCAGGGATTGAGCTCACAACCCTGGGTGTACCAGGGCATTGCTCAAACCACAGACCTAGCCCAGGCAAGGAGCAGTGGAGCTAAGTCCTCCGAGCAGCCTAGAGAGACTGTGCAGGAAGCGACCAATCAGGGAAAGGCTGCAGAAAGCAGCCAATCAGGGCTCAGGAGGGCCCTATAAGAGGAGCTGCAGCGGCACAGTCACTCAGTCTCTTGCTGGAGCTAGAGGAGAGGAGAGGAGAGGGGCTCTTGGCTGGCCCAGGGCAATGGCAGCACCATGGACAGCTCAGGGCGGGCGGTGAGGACGAGCTCCCGGCTGGCTGCTGGGCCTGGACGTAGACAAGCCCGGCGGTGAGGGTGATGTGCTGGCGAAGGCTGGGGCTGTGGGGAAGTGGCCCTGGGAAGTAGCTGTGGTGTGTGGCTGCTATTCTTAGGATCCCTGGGCTGGGACCTGGAGTAGTGGGTGGGCCTGGGTCCCTCCCCTCCCAGAGGCCACTGGGGAAGTGGGCTGATGGTTGACGTGTGATCCACCCCCAGAAGGGGAACTGAATGGCTAAGAGGCCCAGCTGGGGCCAGAAGAGACCCCGTGGGTGAAGATGATTGTCTCCAGGGAGGCAGAACTTTCTGGCCTGATACTATTTGAAGGCTGCAGAGACACTTGTCCAGGGGGTGCTCATGAGAGAGGGGTGCCACCCTGTCATATGCCCTCTTTCCCTTGCTGTTCTCTGGTTGCCTCCCCTTCTGGCCCAAAGCTTCCCAATCTCCTGCCCTGCTCCCTGGCTGTTTCTAATCGGCTCCAGGTGCTAACAAAGAAGCAAAGTCAGATTCAGATACTGAACGAAGGAGTCTTCTAAAAACCCCTGTAGAAAAGGGAGACTGACAAGCTTCCCCCATCAGGTGAAATTCCCCGTGGTGCAGAGAGCTGGGCCAAGGCCTGTGCCCCAGGTAAACGTGCAAAGCAGGGCTTAGCTCACACCGTTCACACACAAGCTCAGAGTTGTGCACTCCACTGTAATGCAGAGCGGCGGCATTTCCCCTGGGTCAGCCCCATAAGACCCTACTGCAGTAAAAACCCAGCCCCGGCCTTCCTACCCCTTCCGAGGAAGCCGTGTGACTGTTCCCAGCTGTGATGGGGAAGGAGACCAGGGTAACGTTCTAGCCCCACTGACTCAATGGGAACTTTGCCATTGACTCCCGTAGTGCTGGGAGCTCACCCGTAGCCCTGCTGATCGCAGGTCAGACAGAAGCATGGCCACGCCTCTCAGTTCAATGCACACGGGGGGTGTTCGTTAACCAAGAGATGCTCGGCTGTCGGAACGACCTGCAGCTGCGAACGCTGGCAGAGTCCGACTGGGGGACTGGATGGGGGGTCAGCCGGGAACACATGACTGCAGGTGCTTGGAGAGAGCAGCTGTGGGGGCAGAGTGGGGGGCAGATAGAGGGAGGTTGAGTTGGGTGCGTCTCTAGGGGCTCGGTAGCATGGTGGGAGGCAGGAAGGGAGTGAAGGATTAGGCATTACCAGAGGGTTCGTGTCCTTTAGCAGAAGGAATGACAAGTGGGCACCAGACGAGGATTTACTTGTCAAGGGACCTGTGTTGAGGATCTGAGCACTGAGTTGACGTGTGCTTGGCGCTCTAAGGGTGAAACGATAAATCTGACCACACCGGTAACAGCAGGCGCTGCTGTTCCTGGCCAGGTGCTGGGGCAAAACTGCTCCACCAAGAGACCACCCAGGTGGTAGCTGCTGGTACTGTGCCCCCCCCCGCCAAACTACAGCTGCCAGGTGGGCTATTGTCTAACTCCTATCCCGGGGGGCAGAGATATGGGGGGGGGGGGACATGGGGCCAGAGACAAGCGGGACACCGGCCTGCAGAGGGCGCTCCGGAGGCTGGATGAGCTAATTCCCA